TGCTACTATCTTATTTTCCATTCGTTTACTCAAGAGAGCCTACTGGAGATAGTGATAAGAGTGGCAATTCACCTTTGTTTCACCTTCTGGGGAATCATTTATGTGCATGCTGGGGATGCTGTCGGTTGTTTGCACTTGTTGTGCAGGCAGGCAACAGATTCTGATCCAGACTTTCCAGGAAATATGGGAGGTGAGACAGGCGTATAATTTATTCAACACAATAACAAAGTCAGCAGCACATTGTGTGTAGGAGATTGCCTTCTCTGGACTCAAATAACAGGAAATATTTTCTCCTAGAATACAATTTTATGACTTTGAGACTATATAAATATACCTATATATACACATACACCCATAAATTCAGGTTTATAACAATTTATAAAGAGTTATGAATGCTCAGAATGTATATATACATGTGTGTATGTATATATATATATATATATATAATATATATACATGTATATACATAAATGAATTTACATCACAGAACACTTTTTTTTTAGCAGGCAATCTCAGATATGAAGTCAATCATTAAGCACCCCTACAAAGTATAAAGGTAGGTTTTTATATGGCTAAACGTGAGTAACTGTCAAAATTCAATTAGCTTTTTGCTATTTAGGCAAAATGATTTATTATATGGTTTTATCAAGAAAGCACAAGTCGAGAAGCTTACCATTTTCCAAGTTTAAGAATGCCAAATGGTAAACAAAGAGAAATAGACTTTGTGGCCACATCAAGGTGCAGCTGAATTCATGTTGATTCTAAGAAAACCTTTATATGTTATATTTCAAAAAACATTTCTTTAAACAAAAAAAACTATGGTAGATTTCAAGATCATATGCCAAAAAAGTTTATGACAGCATGAAAAGAAATAATACATTTTACTTAAACACATCAATATTTTAAGTGAATGAATGTATAGTTATTAGCATGTTTTCTTTAATAATTCAATAATTAACCTGGGCATCTTGTTGTCTTTCTATGTCATAAATCAACAGGAGAAGAAAAAACATATAGATGCATATATATATGTGTAAATATATACATATATACATGTACATACATATATATGTTGTTTTGATCTGACAGCTTATGTAAACAAAGACATAAAATATTGTTCATTGTTCAGTAAACATTTTGGCTGATGCTTTTACTACTTCAATTTTATTTTGATTTGTTATGTTAATTTCAGGATAATAAGAATTTGTATGATTTCAGGTGTTAACTGTGATATAATATAACTATTTTTGTTCTGTAATTATTGTATAAATGATGTATTACTGACTTGTAACAGAATCAAAATTAATATAGCTCTTAATAGAAACCACCTATGTAAACATGTTTGTAGATATTTAATCAAAACAGAGAATTACATTAAATGTTGTATTTACGAGTAAGAAAATTTCTTAGAACAATTATTGATGTACTATTTTCTACATTCAAATCTATTTACCATATAAACAATTCTCTTATCGGTTATTATATTGAAATAGAAAGAAAAAAACATACAAGCACTCATTTACATTTCTATAATGGAAAAGTCTCTTTTCATCCAATGTTGTATAAGGAGTGTTTTCCTTTACTTAATTTGTTTTCATGTATCTTACAAAATTATTATACAGGATAAGCAACAAGTGGGAAAGGTATGAATATTTTGCCAAATGTGAATTAAAGACATCACTTAATTGATTTAATCTTATCATGTATAATTTAGATCAGCTTGTTAGATGGTTTTGTCATTTAAAATTCACATAATGGAAGCCATCAGCACTTTTCTCTAGCATGTTTGAACAGATGGGGATCCTCTACAGATACCCTTGATTATAGTAGGTGGAAGCTATTTAACTCTATGGAAACCATGTTGAAAGAAGCCATTTTGTCTTTATATAGCTTCAGTTACAGCTCTTTTAGTATCCCATGTATTGTCTCTATTTCTGAAACAGTATCATTACCTTTATTTGAAGACCATTTTCTCGGTTATCTGTAGAACCTTTTGGGAAAAACAGGGGCATCGAAGGCAAATTATCGTTAAAGAGGGAGAGTGATAAAAAGTTAGGGTTCTTGGACAAGTTATCTAACAATTCTTAATAAGACAGCCTCGTTCTTTTCTTTCTGAAAGGGAGAAAATGCTGTACAGTCATGATGAGAATTAAAGAGAAATACACATGCAAATCACTTTGTGTGGTGCATGACACACAGTGATTTATTAGTCCATATAATCATCTCATCACCATATCAAATTGGCAGTGATATCTGTTATGTGACATCTCAACAACTATTTATTTAAATAAATAGATAGTTTTATAGCAAACTATATATGATGATACAAATGTATTTGCCATTCATGTTTTTTTCATCTCAAATTAATGAGGTCACACACACAGAGCCAAAATGCTTAATGATTAGTAAATTTTAAGAAAGTAATTTATGCTGTGTAAGCAATGAAAAGAGTATCTCATAAAGTTCATCTGGAGAACTGTTTTTTAGCATAAATGCTTAACAGTCATGAACAAATACAGCTAGTGTTGGGAAATTCTTTCTTATGTATGTACAGAATATATTTTATTGACTTCCACGTTGAAAAGGATAATTATTTCAGTTTGTAATTCTATATCACACCTGCTGGTTAATTCTGCCACATGAGAAATATTTCTGCAAAAAGAGCATTGGCTTTTAAAGAATTGGATTTTCTCTTTATAAATGTGTTGTTCTGTCTTTTCCTCTAAAGGATGTAATTCAAAATGACAGTGTAGAAAAAAGGTCTTAACACAAAAACATGTAAAGTTTCAGGGAGATAAATTTTTTATTCATTCAAAATGTGAAAACCTCTTCTTTCTCATGGTTAAAAAATATACTCCACCTGTTATAGTTTCAGACTATAGTCCAAGCATTCATATAATACAAGTAAGAAAATAATTTGATCACAGTGATCTCCTTGATAGATTTCTTCTGCCCTCTCATTTCTCTGTTTATGACTGGTGACAACATATGCCATGATTTTTTTGCAGATGTGCTCTAAGATTTTAGAGTGAAAGATAAAGGAAAATAATAAGTTTTTATTTTAATAGGATCTTCAACTTGGAGGAATTTGAACTTCAGACTTTTTGTTAAGTCAGTTAATTTTGTCGATCTTCAGCAAGTTATTATTCTTTATAGGCCTCAGTGTCTTCAGTAATATGTGGAAAATAATGATCTTAGAGCTGAAGTGATAAGGAAATCAAGATAGAGATGATAAAGTTCTTGAAGCATAGGTAAATGATTTAAAAGTTCCAATGACTGCTGGGTATGGTGGCTCATGCCTATAACCCTAGCACTTTGGCAGGGCGAGGTGGGTGGATCACCTAAGGTCAGGAGTTTGAGACCAGCCTGATCAACATGGTGAAACTCTGTCTCTACTAAAAATACAAAAATTAGCTGGGTGTAGTGGCAAACGCCAATAATCCCAGCTACTTGGGAGGCTGAGGCAGGAGAATCGCTCGAACCCAGCAATTCTGTCTTAGAAAAAAAAGTTCCAATGCCCTTATTCTCCACATTCTTTCCAAGTTGATCTCACAGATTTTCCCTTAGACCTGTAGATTCAACCTAGAATAAATGTCAAGCAGGACTACTACTTTATTCAGATACCCTTTTCACTCGTTAAGATCCGCAAACGACCATCCTATTTCAGTGGGAGTAAAGCATGGCATGTTGGTTTCCTAAGCATACTCTAGCTTCTTTGCCACTGAACCATTGTCATCAGGCCTCTTTGCCCAGCCTGTTTGAATCTCTGCTCCAACTTCTACAAACCAGCCTTCATCCATGCCTACAAGGATTGCATTCCACTTACTGTAATTTTGTATGCCTGATCTGAGAATCCTCACTATCACCCATGTAAATGAGGATATTGACATTACCTAAGAATACATTGTATATTTACTACACTCTAGATTGAACATATTTCCTAGGCACAAAACCCAAAACAGGACCCAAGTTCACAATGACACTTTTTATGTACAAGCAATCTCCCAGTCTGTCCTCCTCAACTAGTTATTACAGCTTGACCCACTTAAGTAGTTAAAGAAAATAAAAATTTAGGTATTTTAGAGTTAGGATCATATTAGTCACACCATATATTAGAGAAACAAATGTATTATCTATTTCTCTTTTTAAATCTCTTTTTTTGTTTTCCTTAATAATAAAATAAGGAAAAGTATTGCTTTAAGACTCTCTGTTATTAATCATAAAATATCATATAGTAACCACTTGTCAGCTAAATGTATATGCAAAAGCACAATTATTTCTTTTTTCTTTAATTAATAATCTTAATTGACAGAAATTGTTCATCTTTAACTTGTACATGTTTGGAAACGTGTATACTTACTGGAAGTGGGATGGCTCAGTCAAGTTAATTAACATATGCAATAAAGTATAATTATTTCTAATTAATAATAGTATAATTATACTATTATAGAAACTAGAGCAATTTTTATCTATTACAAAACTAAAATGAAATAACTAGTCAGAACTAAAGTAATGTAAATAGCATCAGTATCATCATCTGATATATGAAAATATTTGGAAGTGATTCAACACGTATAATCACTAAAGAGAAGGTACAAATTTCTAATGCTAATTATATGACATAGAATCTAATATGGCAGCATATGTGTTAAAACTATGAGGCTCCATATTTACATTAGATTTGGCACACATATTACTTTCTCAGTTGATAAAATATTAGGGTAAGATCCCAACCCATTTTGAATATTTTACTTTAATAGAAATTGATAACATAAGACCAATACTTTAACTGCTGGCTCATTATTTTCTTCTAAAGTAACACTAGGCATGCGTCTCATCAAAATGTTCAATCCTGAAGACGTGTAATTTTTAATCCATTAGCTTCTGCTTCCTAAAGACTAAGTGTCTGGAAAGTAATTTTCATTCCCATAGCATTCAATGACAGCATTACATTTTTTTTAAACTGCAATCATTTAGACTTAACAGGAAAGGTGACCTACTTTTGGGGAATCGAGGCGGATTGTCATTGACATCAGTGAGGGTGATGTTGACTATCGTTGTTCCGGCTAATCCTCCAAGCTGGCCTCCCATATCCTTGGCCTGGATGAGTACTTGGTATTGTTCTTTGACTTCTCTGTCCATGTTTGGCAAAGCTGTTCTAATAACACCTTCAGGGATGAACGTAATAATGTAAAATAAATATCACAAATATTGTGTTTTCTTAAATAAAATAGTCTGCAACAACAACATGATTCTACTTAGAATCACTAACAAAGACATAATAGCTAAAATTATATCTTTTAAAAGGCAAGACATCCAAAATGTCGAATGGTTAGGACAAAATTTAAAATATTATAGTAGCTACATAATAAAATGTCTTGCAGCAATGAGAAATATGGCTAAAGAACAACCTCTGAGAGGTAGTCATATTACCTTCATAAGTAAACCAACTTAGACATGAATTATATGCATGATTTTATCTTTAAAAAGAAGAAATCATTAAAAATCAGAAATAAAATTTAAAATTAAAATAAAAATTACTGGCATGGTGGCTCATGCCTGTAATCCCAGCACTTTGGGAGGCTGAGGCAGGTAGATCACTTGAGGTCAGGAGTTTGAGACCAGCCTGGCAATATGATGAAACTCTGTCTCTACTAAAATTGCAAAAAATTAGGAGGATGTGGTAGTGGGCGCCTGTGGTCCCAGCTACTTGGGAGTCTGAGACAGGAGAATTGCTTGAACCCGGGAGGTGGATGTTGCAGTGAGCTGAGATTGTGCCACTGCACTTCAACCTGGTGACAGAGTGAGACTCTGTCTCAAAAAAAATAAATAAATAAAATAGAGAAAAAAGTATAAATACTAAAAATGCAAAGTGGTAAAAATGAGTATTCAATGTCCAATTATTATGACTTTCTTCTTCTTTTTATGTTTACTTTCTAGGATAATTATACTAATTTATTTTCTAAAAATGCATTCAATATCTTCATTACATATTTTGTCTTCCAAAATTCCTGTATTTTAGCAACAGATATTTCACCAAGTGTCTTCAAAATTCAGGACAGTGTTTGACATTTACAAGGAAAACAGTAAGTACATGCAAACCAATTAACTGAAAGAATGAATGGCTGAATGAACGAATCTATAAATAATCAAACTTTAAATGTGAAGTTTACAGCATATGTGCATGTTTACATATTGTCCTCATTTTCTGTCCTGGTGTCCAAGTGTAAAAGTAGTTTATATTCCTATTTATTCATAGTAAAATAACTAAAACCTCCTGGATTATTTTCAAATAAAACCATGAATAAATTTCATACCAAATTCCAATCTTTAGTCAATGGTTTTAGGGAGAGATTGGACACCATTTTTTTTAAACACAACTGGCTTTAATGGTGTTGTTTCTTTCCCTAAGAAACATATGCAACTTTCTTTAAATAGCATATATGAATAACAAATATAATATCAACAAAAATAAATCAACCATCAACAAACATAGAATCCAAATCATAAACCCAACATATATCCCTGTTTTATCTGGACTTTCTACTCTCTCCTTAACAAATGCTGATTCAAATTTTCAATCTGAGATTTTTTTGTCTTTGCAGGAAATCATTGCAGTAAAAAACAATCTTCATTTATGCTGCTGCTACTTTATTTATGAATTGGTAGTGACACCTTTTTAATTCAATGTGTTTGTCCTTTCTTCAGCTCAGGCTCCTGTTGCTTCATTTCCAAGTCTCTTAATTAAGATTCTTTGTCTCTACCTGTGAGTGTTCTGGTTCTACATACCTTAAGTTATGTGACTTCTGCCTGGCTTACAATGCTTATATATGCTAGTTAGATTCCTGGGTATGAATCATATGCATTATATCTTGTCTTGTTGTTGACTGAGTCTATCTTAATTAATTTTCAATAAGAAAATTATATATATATACTTAATTAACTTCTAGCATAAAAATTTCCAATATAAAAATTATATCTGTCACTATTTATCTATCTATTCTTTTTTTAAGGCATTCATTTTTATTATGTTAAGTAATTAACATAAGCTTGAGAATTTTGGCAAAAGTACTGGAAACTAAAAATATTGTAGTATATATGAAAAAGAACCAAATAAAAATTCCGGAACTAAAAAATTACAGTAATCAAATAACACAATAGATGTGTTTATCAGCTGACCAGACAGCAGAAAAAAGAATTGGAAAATTGCATAATACATTAAAATAACTATTCACAGTGAAGTGTGAAAGGACAAGAGATGAAAATACAGATAAAAGGATAAGAGACATGGAAGACCAAACAGAAAGGTTAGTGGCTGAGAATATTCTACAACTGGCGAAAGTAACCAATCTCTATTTAAGCAATCCAATGATTTCCTACTGGGATCTATAAAAATAAATTTTTATCTAGATATATCTTTGTGAAACTATAGAAAGCCAAAGACTCAAGTTAAAAGATAAAGATCAAACACTAGACTATTCTTATATCTATCCATCTCTCTATCTTTTTATTTAACTGGACAGAGAGACAGAGTTGTGGAGTTGTGTTTTTTACTGGTTATTTGCTGATCTAAATAAAATGCTATATACTGAGATCCAGTTACATTAAAACATTAAGATGCAGAGTTCTTCTTTTCCCGTGATGATGCAATCAATTTTTGTTTCATTGTTGAGAAACTGATAAACAACAGGTAGCCGTGAAAAAAATAACTTCCTGAAAAGTTCCTTTCCTGGCTTTTAAAATAAACTGCAATGTTTAAAGATTCTCTTCTCATTTTGAATTTGGAGTTTGGCTTAGTCCCCAAATATAAACTCCCCAAAAAATTATACAAACACTACATTATGTTTCCTCTGGTTCTTAAATGGAAGTGGTGCTGGGTCAGGGGAAGCGCATCCTGGTCATCACTAGAAATTGACTTTCAAACTACATATACAATGTTTTCTCCTTCTGAGTTCCACATACCGTCCAGTTGGGTAGCATTACACTAACAGCAGGGCTAGAAGCAGCAGAAAGGTCACTCATCAGGCACAGGGTGGAACAGGAGGGCAGGGCTGTGAGTGTGGTAGAAAAGGCCTTGCCAATTTTTATGAATGACCAGAAAAAATATATATCTACTCTTAAGTCTGATAATACCTATTTTGTCTCTTTTCAATTGCATCTTAATATTTTAATCTAACTGGATCCCAGTAGATAGATAGCTATTTATATACATCAGCAAATAACCAGAAAAAGCAATTCCACAACTTTCTCTGTCCATATAAATAGATAGATAGATATAGAAACAGATAGGTGGATAGTGATATGGGGATAGACCTTCTGCTAGCATCTATTTGGTGACAGAATGTTACTACAGTTTTGAAGACTATCTTCCATAATTCCAAACTCTTTTCAGATGTCCTGCTGTATCTTAATATTAGTTAATTCTTATAATCTGAGACTACTGGTATAGATAGATGATAGATAGATAGATAGATAGATAGATAGATAGATAGATAGACATACTTTTAAATTTTATTTTCAGGAGCATAGCAACTGCATGAATAATGGCAAGCCTGAGTTATCTGATGTCTGGGTGACAGCAGTAATGTCAAGATTGATAACCTGAATCCTAGCCTAGGATCCATCATACCATTTCACGTGAATTAATATATTTAAAGGATGGTGTTTATTCAAAGAAATGACAGGTTGGTAGGGGATCATTTGAATAACGCAATTCACAGAATTATTCTGTGACCTATTCCTTATAAATGGAGTAAGACATTTGAGACCCCTACAAGAAATGACTTTTCTCCTATCATCCACTCCTAGCGGTCAAAGCGTTTGAGAAGATGCCATCTGAAGCGCGCACTGAGGTGCTCAGGCTCTAGCTATTCCAATCGCTCCAGGTCAACAGAGCGCCTGAATTTCTCCAAACTTCTTGTCCTCATTCTCCCAGTTCCCTTATGAATGCCTGTCTAGTGAGTGGACATCTTTCTGGTTTCTTCCACTTAGTCTTTTTTTTTTTTTTCGTGAAGCCATGTCTTACTCACAGCACAGCTTCAGGAAGAAATGACCACACCCTCCGCAGGACTCAATCATAGCGTGTAGACTGTTTTGTTGCATTTGTTGATTTGTTGCCTGTTTACCTTTCTTTACCAGACTGAAAGCCACTTTAGAACAGAGAGAAGTCTTTTTATTTTCTTCTTTATTTCTGGCATCTAGTCAATGTCTGGCTCAGAGTGACACAGGAGATGGAAAGAAATTATTTAGGCAGACAGTAAGAGTAAAAGAGTCCTCACTAAAATCTTCCTTTTAATAAAAGCAGCGCCCAAATCATTTCCTTTCTAAGAAAGAGCAGCCTGAAAAACTGAACTGCAGACATAGCTAAGCAAGCTGGAAGCTTGCTCGGGGGAATGCCAGCAGCTGTGCCAATAGAAAAGGGTTACCTGGGAGCCACGTATGTTCAGCATGAAGGCTCTGTCTTCCCTTTTCTTTGTCACCACATGTACGGTAAAGAGCTAGGCAAATTGGCACTGGCCAGATAGAACCCATCTGCCTAAAAAAAGATTAGGGTGGGGTGGGCAGATTTTTACATGTATGCAAATGGCACACCTAGCCGTAACCCGTTTTTTGCGCATTATGCAAAGAATACACCTGTTCTGACCAATCTTTCATGCCCTATGTAAATCAGACATCACCTCCTCGAGCTTATATATAAAACCTGTTGCATTTCACCCCAGCAGAAACCCATTCGGGACCCTTGTCCCTGCAGGAGAGCCTTTTGCTCAGTTTCTTTTGCCTTTTCTTTTTTTTTTTTTTTTTTTTTTTGAGACTGAGTCTCCCTCTGTTGGCCAGGCTGGAGGGTGGCGCAATTTCCGCTCACCACAAACCCCGCCTCCAGCCTCCCAGGTTCAAGTGACTCTCCTGCCTCAGCCTCCCGAGTAGCCAGGACTACAGGCCCGTGCCACGGCATCTGGCTAATTTTTTGTATTTTTAGTAGTGACGGGGTTTCACCTTGTTAGCCAGGGTGGTCTTGATCTGACCTCGTGATCTGCCTGCCTCTGCCTCACAAAGTGCTGGGATTACAGACGTGAGCCACCACATCTGACACCAAACCTCAGTTCTTAACCTTACTTCTTGTGTGTCTGCGTCCTTGATTTCCTCAGCATAGAAAAAGGAACCTCGGGGT